GTTAGAAGGTAAGATTGAAATGTGTGTTTTATCTCTTAACATTTTGTGCTTCACTTCTCATGCCTCAATTTACCTGTCTTCACTAGTTCACAAAAAACCTCTACAAGAAGTAGAAATTGCTGCAATTACCCATGGTGCTTTGCAAGGGTTGGCTTATCTTCATTCCCACAACATGATTCACAGGTGAGCGCTTTCTGTATATTGTGGAGACTCTGCTTCAATTATGTGAAGCACTGATTATTTTTGTTAAATCTTGTAAAATTAATGTCTTAAGAATGCCCTGTATAATAATAATAATAATAATAATAATGATGATGATGATGATGATGATGATGATGATGATGATGATGATAATAATGATACTATTATTATTGTTATTGTTATTGTTATGATTATTGTTGTTATTATTATTGTTATTATTATTATTATTATTAATATTAGGCTATTATTATTATTAACTCTTTTCCGATCTCATATTCAGAACTTTGATTTTATGATGATATATTATTCACCTCACCTGTTCCTTTTCATAGAGACATAAAGGCAGGAAATGTCTTATTGACAGAGCTTGGACAGGTCAAACTGGCAGATTTTGGTTCTGCGTCTATAGCCTGTCCTGCAAACTCTTTTGTTGGAACACCTTATTGGTATGTTGCACTTTTACTTTAAAATACTAAAACATCCAAGGCTCTTAATCTTTTGTGCTTTTACCACTGTAGGATGGCTCCAGAGGTCATTTTAGCAATGGATGAGGGACAGTATGATGGTAAAGTGGACATCTGGTCTTTAGGAATAACCTGCATAGAATTGGGTTTGTTAAATTTTGTTTGTTGATTGATTCATTTTAATAAATATTTCACATAAATGTGATTACAAAATGCCTGTACTATATTTCATTTTAACAGCGGAAAGAAAACCTCCTTTGTTCAATATGAATGCGATGAGTGCCTTATACCATATTGCACAGAATGAAAGTCCAACACTCCAATCAAGTGAATGGTAAGTTCTGTCTTTTAGAATTAGATAATGTGTTATTTTATTTTTATGTCATCAGTTTGATTAATAAATACTCTTCCCATTTTATTTGAAGGACGGATTATTTCAGAAACTTTGTAGATTCTTGCCTTCAAAAATTCCCACAAGATAGACCCAACTCTGAAGAGCTCTTAAAGGTGAGGTTGGAAAAACTGTAACCTAAGATGATTTTTCACTTACATCTAATAGACTAGCTTATCTTAATAGATCATGCATTTTATTTTGTTGTTGTCTTTTTCAGCATGCATTTGTTCAGCGAGAAAGACCCGAATCTGTTTTAGTGGACCTAATAAATCGAACCAAGGATGCAGTGAGAGAATTAGACAATCTGCAATATCGCAAAATGAAAAAAATCTTGTTTCAGGAAGCCCACAATGGCCCAGCAACTGATGTACAAGATGAAGAGGAGGTATGCCATTAAATTTGCTATTCTGTGCCATGTAGAGCATTCAAATGTTGTTTTTTGTTTTTCAAAGTGTTGAGCTCTGTTCTTATTGGCTATTTTTAGGAGCCAGAGACTATGGTTAGCCGCACTGGCACCGTGAACAGTGTCGGGAGCAATCAGTCTATTCCCAGTATGTCAATAAGTGCCAGCTCCCAGAGCAGCTCTGTCAACAGTCTGACAGACGCCGGTGATGACAAGAGTGAGCTGGAAATCGAGGCTGGGCACACAGTTATGTCCACTAATTCAGTCATCCACCTCACACAGGTAAGGAGGAAGTACAGCCCATTAAACAAGATGTTATTTCTAAACTTGGCAATTTCTGAAGCCGTTTCCTACATGTTCATATTTTAATAAAGAATGAAGAACCAGTTAGTGAAAAAGCCGAGCCTCAGACTCGACCAACGGAGCCACAGCCCCCACCTGCACAAACTCAAAGACCAAAGAGAAACCGAGAACACTTTGCCACTATACGCACTGTATCAGCTGTAAGTGATTACATATTCATAAAGCATTTGCATAGTAATACTTTCATAACATGATTTATTTTTTCCACAGCTTACACGCCAAATAAAAGAGCATGAGCAAAATTCCGAGCTAAGGGAGCAAATCATGGGTTACAAACGTATGAGACGGCAGCATCAGAAACAGCTAATGGCTCTAGAAAACAAGCTAAAAGCTGAGATGGATGAGCACAGACTACGTCTCGACAAGGAACTGGAGAACCAGAGGAACAGCTTTGCTCAGGAGATGGAAAAACTAATCAAGAAACACCAGGCATCCATGGAGAAAGATGTAAGTCTACAGCTTTGTAATGTCAGATGTATGTCAGAAATACATTATAATGGTATAAACCTTTCACAGGCAAAAACCTTTAGCAATGATGAGAAGAAGTTTCAACAGCACATTCAGAACCAGCAGAAGAAAGAACTAAATAGCTTTTTGGAATCCCAAAAACGGGAATATAAGCTACGCAAAGAACAACTTAAGGAAGTATGGATAGTTCATTGTAAACTTACTTACTACTATTTATTATTATACTACTATTTACTGTTTTTTAATTGTTCTTGTAGGAACTGAATGAAAACCAATCAACACCAAAGAAAGAAAAACAAGATTGGCTGTCCAAGCAAAAAGAGAATTTCCAACATTTCCAGGCAGAAGAAGAGGCTAATTTACAGCGGAGACAGAGGCAGTACTTGGAACTGGAGTGTCGTAGGTTCAAGCGGAGAATCTTAATTGCCCGCCACAACATTGAACAAGATTTAGTGCGCGAAGTGAGCATTTTAAACTTTTATTACATATATGAAATTCAAAATCAAATCCAAAGTATGAGTAATACTTGGAATGCTATAGTCATGCTTCTGTCTGACTTTTTAATTGTCTCATAATTAGGAGCTAAACAAGAGACAGACACAAAAAGATTTGGAACATGCTATGCTTCTTCGGCATCATGAATCCATGCAAGAACTGGAGTTTCGTCAACTCGGTACCATCCAAAAGACCAGAGCTGACCTCACTCGCATGCAACATCAGACTGAGCTCACTAATCAGCAGGAGTACAACAAAAGGAGAGAGAGGGAACTTAGACGGAAACACGCCATGGAAGTGCGGCAGCAGCCCAAGAGCCTTAAGGTGAACTTCCTCTGTAATATTTATATTGGTCTGACTCTGAATCCATTACTTTAAACCTCTGAAACCTCTGTAAAAATATATTTTCTACTTAACAGTCCAAAGAGTTGCAGATCAAGAAACAATTTCAGGACACCTGTAAAATCCAGACGAGACAGTATAAAGCTTTGATCAATCATCTGCTGGAGACCACACCAAAGTCTGAGCACAAAGCTGTCCTCAAGCGTCTTAAACAAGAACAACATCGCAAGCTGGCCATCCTGGCTGAGCAGTACGATCACTCAATCAATGAGATGCTTTCAACTCAAGCAGTGAGTGTGAAAACCTCAAGACTTAAATTAATGCTGCATGACATTTGTGAATGGATTTTTAGTAACATCCTCTTTCTCAGTGTTGCCGATGTTGATTCTCACCCTTTTGGTTTGTTCTCAGCTTCGTCTGGATGAGACTCAGGAGGCTCAGTGCCAAGCTTTAAGAATGCAGCTGCAGCAGGAGCTGGAGCTGCTCAATGCCTACCAGAGCAAAATTAAGATGCAGACGGATTCTCAGCACGAACGAGAGAAGAAGGACTTAGAGCAGAGAGTGTCCCTGCGCAGAGCGCTGCTGGAGCAGAAGGTTAGACTTGCATGCATCAGTACATTAGCAAGAAACACCTTTAAGCAGGATTTTTAACCTCAACCTGTTTTTTCTTGTTTTGGTAAAGATTGAAGAAGAGATGTTGTCCCTAAGAAATGAGCGCTTGGAACGAATTCGGAGTCTTCTTGAGCGCCAAGCCCGTGAAGTCGAAGCTTTTGACTCTGAGAGTATGCGCCTTGGCTTCAGCAACATGGTGCTCGCTAACATCTCCCCAGAAGCCCTCAGCAATAGCTTTCCCGGAGCTCCAGGGAACTGGAGCCATCAGCACCAACATTCATCTGGGAGTTCTCATGGACAACACTGGGGAAGTGGCGGTTCAGGCCGCTCAGTCAGCCAATACCACTACCACTCCAGTCCAGGAGGGGCACCGGGACAGCAGGCATGGGGGCAGAGCATGCAGGGTTCTGGGGGGCAGCATCCATGGGGACACTCATCTGCTTCTCTGGTCTCTCGTAGCAGTGGGGCAGTACAAAACAGTCCCCAAGGAATGGGCAGGACACCTTCAGGAGGACGCAGTGACCCAGCCATGAGCCGGAGTACCAGTGTAGCCTCTCAGATCTCAAATGGCTCACATCTTTCATACACTTAGATCCATAGTTTTCTGACTTAGTCTGAGGATGGAAATGTGGGCTTTGGTAGACACAGCAGGCCAGAGACATGACTGTCCTGCAGCTCTGCACTCAATTCTCTCTGTGCAAATGTGGATGTACAAGGAAATACATGTTGCTCAGGTTCAAAGGGCTTTATAAGGCAGATGATTGGCACTCATTAAAATTATTTCATTGTTGGACACAGAGTATTTACAGAGTACTCCCATTTCAACCGATTTCTACCCACAGCCATCACTTTGCACACTGTTTACGTTAGGTATGCACAATCTCGGATTTAACATCATTTAAAGTCCTTTCTCTTAAAATGCCTATTCTGGTTCATTATCATTCATACACTGGCTGATTTTCTGTTGTTGGTCTGAGCACGCCACTTCTTAATTGCTTTGCTGCCATTATACAAGCCTGCTGTAATGGTCTATGGGTTAATTTAATATCTATTTAGTAACTTGACTTGCAATATGTGTTTTATACACTACTACTGTGCCTTTTACACCTTTTTGTTTAGGTCAATTTTATTATTGTTTTTAATCCATCTTATTGAGAGACATGCAAATGAATGTTCGCACACAGATTTTATTGTTTTTAACACATCTTTAGCAGCCCAGCGTACAACAATGATCAATTTAAATAGATCTGTCAAGTATATTGTCTTAATATCTTGTGGGGAAATGTATTCTTCATACTAACTATATTGTATATATGCCTTTTGGATTAGTGGTACTGGAAGGTTACACCACAAACCCTTTCATTTTTCAAAGGTCTGCGGTTTGTTTGCCTTTTGTCACATTTGTAATTAATATAATTTAATTGGTGCCTTTAAAACTGCTGCCTATTTCCCAGCACTTTACACAGCGCTTTATTTCTAGAGTAAATGTTCAGATTGATGCTTTGATAGTATGTGTTTAGTAAAGACAACTTTTTATGCAGTGTGCTAGTATGATTCTGACCCATACAACAGTTCCCAAATGCAGGAAGGGACTATGAGAAATATGAGACCTTCTCGTTGTATGTTAGAATTTCACAAATACTATTATATGCTTAAGTTAGGCTAAAAATATTGTCCTGACCATAACAGCAGGCTTGGCACTACTAATACTTAATAAGCTACAAAGCTAAAGGCCCAGCTAAGCAACACTAATGGTATAAAGGTGCTTGGTCACACATGCTTCTGATGCCACAACATGAGTGACTGAACTATAAGCACATGCTCTACTAACACTATAGTAGCAGATGTTCTTTTACACACTGTAAAAATGGCCAAATACAATTGAATAAATGTGGCAAAGCACTTAGTTACTTTGAGTGCCCTCATTTGCTCACAGCTTGTATTTTCATGTTGATTTAAGCATATTAATCAGAAATGAAAGATTATCCTTCAAGTTTAATTTAGTTTTATGTTTATATGTGTATATTTTATTCAAGCATTCAGTGACTAAAACATGTTTTTGAAAATAATTTCTAAGATTAACTATTTAACTGTCAGATCACACTATTAGTTACTCTCAAGTTTAAAAAAAGTTCTTATTTTCCAGAAATGCCTTTTTATAAAGTATTTTTTGGTTTTGTTTCATCTATTGTGTATATTTTTCCTCCATTTTCATCGTTCTTTCCTTTCACACTTCAGTCGCTGGGTCATTATATGTATTGCTGTTGTGCTCTTCCTTGGATCTAAAAAGCATACAAACAGCATTTAACTTTTGTTTGGTACAACGTTCTCCTTGTCATGTTTCCTTTTTTTGAAATGATACTGCGCAAAAAGGCAAGTGTATTTATATTTGCCTCCCTGCGTATATCAGCAGCCAAGAGTTTGAATGTTAGGCCATACAAACCTCATCAGACATGCCAACCAAGACTTCTTATGCACAACATCTGTTCACTGTTTGAATGTTTTGTGTGAGAGATGTATCCATGCTTATTCAACAATTATTATATGTTATACTTTGATGTCAAATTGTGTCCTACTGACTGAATAAGTGCAAGATTCTGAATGAGACTGGGTAAAAATTGGCATTTGTCAAACACTGTGCCATACTGATGTCTAAAACCATGGCAGCCCTTTACAGTCTTTGCTTCGATCTCTTTGCGAAAAAAAGCAGATTGAAATGTGAGTGTGTGGCACCAAAAGGCCTAAAGGATTTTGTGACAGACAGCTTATGAAAAGAGATTGCATTTCTTTGAACATGACAGTATTCTTTGGGCACATTACCACTACAACTCATAACTTGTATTAAAGTGTATAGATGGTGGAACATGCTATTGAATGTCAGAGATTATGCTACATAAAAGATGGTAAAGTACTAAATGTGGGTTAAAACGTGTAAAAATTATAAAACAATAAATAGATCAAATTCTTTCTTTTGTTGGATTATTTAACGTTGGGACGGCAAACAGATTGCATAAATGGAAAATAAATTAGCTCTAAATTGTGTATATCCTGGGTTTGTGTGGGTTCGGTTTTTTTTTATTTTTTATTACTGAGTCCACATAGCCTGATAGTCCGAGGTCCGCGGACCACAGTTTGAAACTCACTGCAGCACGTTCACGAACCCGGAAACGACGCAGCGTGTGAGGAGTTATTTTAATAGACCCACAGATGAGAGTCATAAACAAGTGTACAGCTTCCAAAAGAAATAGAAATGGTGTCTTAAGTCAAGTTCTAACGTGCGTGTGCGCTACAAAAGAGCACACGTTGTGATGATTTAGTATTAACTTTAGTAGTAAAAGTAGTAACTTTTAGCCAAAGTAACAAGCTCTTGCCAGCGTTTGCTAGCATGCTAACTAGTTGTTAGCTGTCTTTTAACTCGACACTTATTGTGACAATCGATTCTTTAAACACAAGTAAAGGTAATGCATTTACGCTTAACCTTGTTCAACAATGTTGAGGTCCACTGGTGCACTTTTAGTTAACACCTCTGTGAAAACTAAATGTTTGACCACTCAAGGTAGGGTAGGTAGAGTCTTTATTTCAAATCTTATAAACATGACCTACCTGAGTTTCTCTGTGTCCCCAGATATGATGTAGTGTTAAACATCAAATTGTTATTTTAGTGATATCAGATAACAGCAAATTTTATTTATTCCTAATACATAGTTTACATGGAAGTTGTTGCCAGTTTCAGTGACTAAAAGCAGTTGGTTTAAACCTCAAAGGACTTTCCCTGATCCTCACTACCAAAACCTAATCATGACTGAGTGCTAGTGCAGCCTCTGCAGCAAATTCTGGTGGTTCTGAGCTTTCACTTGTGTCATGGTCTGCCGATATATAATGAGGATGAGCAAAACATGTTTGTGTCCTCAATATGCAGGTCATTACACAATAAGTAAGATCTAAATATTTAACTGCTACTAGAGATAACACTTTTATAAGATTGTTATTCAAATCAGGAAATTCAAATGTAGTAAATTAAGCAAAATAAGTTTAAGAAGGAGATTGGGGATAAAATGGCACTGAAGATGTTCTAAGCTGTAGGTCTATTTATTTAGCCTACTTATCAGCCTAAATAACATGATAACACATTATTCTAGTGGTGATATGTGAGAATATAACAAGGGTGAATCGGCCTAATTACTGATGATAGGTTTAAGGCTCTGGAAACACAGGTTCAGTCATCTGAGTTCCTTTTGAAGAAGCTATGTAGTACCTACCATTCCTTTCAAAGGTGATTATAATAGTTATATGATATAATAAAAACAATTTTTTCCTCGGTTTATTGCTAGACTTGAAGATGCTGTGTGAAGTCGTGCTGTCGTCTCTCTGGATCCTGTTTGTCATATTTTGGGTGGAGACTGAAAGTGTCTGGATGTTCCTCTCCATGTTCCACCAGGACAGGGCATTTTACCTGTCCAGAGATGGGTAAAAAGAACAATTATGCCTAATAATTATTATCACATGTTAAGGGAATTTTTTGTGTGCATGATGTTAATATTACTAATGACCCAAGGCACACGAATGAAATCCTCAGTAGGTATGTTGATGTTACTGTAAAATAAATCTAGGCGCATTACACATACAGCTATAATAATATATTTTGTGCTTGCCCATAGAGGTAGACTAGGGTGACAAAATAAAAATGTTGATATTGTTGGGATTAGACTTGGACTTAGACAAACTGAACTGACACAATAAATATAGTAACAAAGAAGAAATATTTATCTTAATAATATTCCATCAGAAATGTTCAAATGTGTCAGAAATTTGCTAAAACATGCCTGAGTATGTCTTGGTTGAGGTTCAGGCTTTACTTATACCGCACTCACCCGGTTTGTTTAAACAAAGTATTGTCCTTTTACCTAAACTTGTTATTACATAATCTGGTATAATGGTGACCATCCTTGGTGTCAGTTATCAGGGTCCAGAAAAAAACTGCTGTACATGCATTATGCTTTCTGTAATATTGCAGTTAGTAATATTTTTATTGTTCTATCTCTCGTTCACAGGATGATTCTTTCTCCACAGAGAAGACCATATTCAAGTAGGGATGCAGGCCTGATAGAAGAAATGTAATAGTCCCATGAAGTGGCTGTTGGACTGTAGTGTGGTGCTGTGAAAGACTGAAAGAAGCAATACCTTTTGCTGACTTCATTGAAAATTAAGAGTTTGTCTTTAAAATAGGTCAGTATATCATAAAATCTATGTGAAGGTGATGCCAGTCCTATGGGGGCAGAGTGGAGTTACCTGCCCCTTGATGAAGGAAGTCAAGAAAAGGCAGTAGCTTGGGGGTCTCTTTGAAAAGGGCAGAGTCCTTTTCACAGTCACAAGAAACTGCAGCCTATATATTGCCACTATGAGCCTTTTGCAGGTCCAGTTGCTCATAATGCATGAACCTTTATGAAAAGTGTATAAAGCACAGGTGTCAAACAATCTGGCCCTCAGCTGATATTCTATTAAAATATTTGAATTATATTTTTTATTAAAATCTTGTTAATTTTCTGTGATGTTTATCACAGCAGCGTCTCCAGCGTCTCTGTACGTGGCCCCTCCCACCAGAGCAGCACAAATGAAGACTTGTCTCTTTCCAAACGCTCTTAAAGGACGATCGTTTTGACTGTTGACCATGACACCCTCATCAACAAAATGTCACAAATGAGAAAATAGGAGCCGAGTGCAGGATTTTCCAAGAAAAATTTAGTTATTCCTATTTATACAAGTTAATGTTAAAAAAGTTCATGTTAAAACATTGTGTTGAAATTGTATTTTTCTTAAAGTTTCAGGTTGTTCATAATATTATAACATTTTGTAAAAGAAAGTTCATTCATTAAAAAAGATTTCTGTAATAGATTTGTGTTTCTCTGCACAAATATTTGAACTTATTGTTATTTTTGGGGTTTATATGACATGAGTTTTCTGATCCGGACACTTTGGATCAAAGTCGGTTGGATACGGCCCCCGGACCAAAATAAGTTCGACACCCCTGGTATAAAGGGAGACGTCTGATAAATTCGATTGGGTGAGAGTTACTCGTAGCACTGTACAAATGGAAGCATGTATTTTTATGTGAGCTTGACATATAAGACATTATCTTTTGTAATTTTTCATGGCATACTCAAGTAGAATTGTTGATTAAAGGACACATATTATTTGAAAAGACTCTTTTGTATTTTATGCAAACAATTATTGTAGTTATTTAGTTGAGTTGATGCAACTAGACCAAGGCAAGCCTGCACACAGTAAGGATGCATTTCTCTTTTTTTAAGAAAGGAAAAAGAACACCTGTAGTTCAAATTCTTGAATGTGATGATGTCCTACTCCCAGATGGAGGCAAAAGCCAGATTTCTCTATTGATAACAATGCATTTTCATTACAAATATCAAAAGGTAAATTCATAAATACTGAGCCTGTATTAAATAAAACTGTCCTTTAGGGTTAGTTAGGCCTCCAAACCAGCAGGGGGCGTTTCTCCGTTCACCTATATTTGAGCCCCGCTTCACCACGAGTGCCATCCTGTCCGCTTGTCGTAGCAAAATAAAGACACTACATTTATGCTTCTCGATCGGGGTAAAAGAGGTTTCTTTAGTCTTTTCATCACGGTCTGAAATTGTGTTGCCTGAAACATGGCACCGACCATTCAAACTCAGGCTCAGCGCGAGGACGGCCACAGGTATGTACAAGGATTCACCACAGTAAACCGTCACAGATCTGCTTACTTTTTGATCTTTTGCCATTATCCCTCTTATTAATGCGAGGATAACAGTGATCTAACCTAATTTATATCTAAAGTGTACTATGTCAACTTGTCTGTCTGGAGATGTTATTATATATATGTTATTTTATCCATAAGGAAGTGCAGATGATGGTACCAGGCCAAGTTACAGGTCAGATCTGTGGAGGCACTCGCAATGAAAATGCATGTTTTTAGTATTAAAAGCATCTGTAATTAAATACATACACGATGGATAGAATTGCTATACTGCAGAACTTTCCAGGCAAAGCACTAATATCTACATGGTGTCTAGCTGGTTCAGACAACAGGAAACCCTCCACTAAAACAGTTGCATAGTGTACATCTTATATAAGAACCAAGATCCAAGATCCAAATAATAGTTCTTGTATATTTTTGTGTAAACATTGCATTTTGCCCTATTTTCATTAAAATTTCTTGTTTTTTCAGCAGGCCATCCTCTCACAGAACTGTGCCTGAGAGGTATGAAAATTGTTTACACTAAAATGTGTGTAATTATAGATGTGAAATTAAATTGCTCTTACTTAATTTAGATCAGGAGTCGTCTGCCGTGTGAAATACTGCAACAGCCTCCCAGACATCCCCTTTGACCCCAAATTCATCACATATCCATTTGACCAGCACAGGTGAACAGTTTCTCATTGTAACATTGATACTAACATGATTATGATGATGTAAACTCTTGTTACCATTACCACTACTCTCTGTTCACTACTGTAATATTTGTTGATGCTTTAGGTTTGTACAGTACAAGGCTACATCTCTGGAGAAGCAGCACAAACATGAGCTTCTGACTGAACCAGACCTAGGAGTCACCATTGATCTTATAAATCCTGATACCTACCGTATAGACCCCAGCAGTAAGACTTCCTTTTTAAGCTTTGGAGCAGATTGTAAATGTGTGAGATTTTATATAATTGGTTTGCTTGTGTATTTCTCATTGGCAGTATTGTTAGATCCAGCTGATGAGAAACTGCTGGAAGAAGACATCCAAGCTCCATCCAGTTCAAAGAGGTATGAATATAGAGTGCATAGTGCAAGGGCCATCACAAAGATTATGTTAGAAGTGCTGTGTATTTCGCTGTAAAAAAATGTGGTGAAGGTGGTCTTTAATTTAAATTCAATTATGTATGACACTGACATAATGACACTTAAGCAAAAATAATTTCAGCAAGTAATTTTCTAAATTACCCACATTAGAAATAAAATGAGCTGCAATAAATGGCACAAGCAAACACTTGAGTTGGTAGTTAGTATCTGTAATAAATAGTATTAAAATAATTACTGACAGGCCTATGTAGTGCAATATTTAAACTGTGTGATCACACATTTTGTCATGTTTTTCCATAAGGTCACAACAGCATGCAAAAGTTGTTCCATGGATGAGAAAAACTGAGTACATTTCCACCGAGTTTAACAGATATGGTGTCTCTAATGAGAAAGTGGAAGTCAAGTAAGTGTGCTCAGAGGTTTTTTCCATACATTTTTGTAATGCATATAACCCATAATGTATGTGGCTTTAGGATTGGAGTTTCTGTTAAACAGCAATTCACAGAAGAAGAAATTTACAAAGACAGAGACAGTCAGATTTCAGCCATTGAGAAGACATTTGAGGATGCACAGAAAAATGTGAGTTTTATTTACTTTTATTTTGTTTACAAATTACTATATACACACTCTTTATATATTTGGATATTGAACTTTGCGTACTATGTGTTTCTCTACAGATTGCTCAGCATTACAGTAAACCCAGAGTTACTCCTGTAGAGGTATTGCCAGTGTTCCCAGATTTTAAGGTGCGCATACATTGACAATACACACACATAATTATTATTTTATTTAACATTTGATGAAAAATATTATTTTTTTATTTCCTAGATGTGGATCAACCCCTGTGCGCAAGTAATTTTTGATTCCGATCCTGCTCCAAAAGACATATCAGGACCTGCAGGAGTGGAAATGATGTCCCAAGCCATGATTAGGTTTGTTGAATGACTGTTGTATCTAACATTTAAATTACCATTCCAAACCCTTTGATTTTTTTTTTATGCCTAAATTTCCTTGTGTAATACAGGGGCATGATGGATGAAGAAGGTAATCAGTTTGTGGCCTACTTCCTGCCCAATGAAGAAACTCTTCGGAAACGCAAAAGAGATTGTGAGGAGGGTGTGGATTATATGCCCGAAGATCTGTACGTATAATCACTATATAAACTATTAAACATTCATTAAAAAGGTATAGGCACTCACCTAAACCTAATTGTGGTTTGCTTTTTGAAGGTATGATTACAAGATCGCCAGAGAGTACAACTGGAATGTTAAGAACAAAGCCAGCAAAGGTTATGAAGAAAACTACTTCTTTATCTTCCGAGATGGTGATGGTGTTTATTACAATGAACTTGAAACTAGGTAACACCTATTTTACAAAATGCTGTGTGCCCTATCCTGTCTGTCTGAATATACATATCTTGACATGGTGCTGGTTTTACTCAATATTTTGTCTCTTTTCATTTCTAGAGTGCGTCTAAGTAAGAGAAGAGCTAAGGCGGGAGCGCAGTCCACCACAAATGCTGTGCTGGTTTGTAAGCACAGAGACATGAATGAGAAAGAGCTTGAAGCACAGGTAATACTAGGTTATGTATGCCTACTTCTCAAATGTTTTAGACTGACTGAATGTGTTTGTATTTACGATGGATATATTTTTAAATTTCAGGAAGCTCGTAAAGCTCAGTTGGAGAACCATGAACCAGAAGACGAGGAGGAAGACATGGACATGGATAAAGATATGCAGGACTCTGGTTAGTTTTTAGATAGCAGCCACATCTGTTCATGTACATTTCATTTCACAGCCTTCCTGTTGACCTTAAATGTGTTTTACAGGTGATGAGAAAGAGAAGGGAAGTGGCAGTGACGGAGATAACTTTGGTAGTGACTCTGAAGGAGAAGATGAAGAGCAGGAGCAAAGAGAAGAGGATGAGGAGGAAGAGGACCGAGGGAAGCGGAGGAGGAAGAGCAGTGGCAGTGGCAGTGAAAGTGGTGAGGAGCGCACCAGAGAAATGCGCGACGAAGAGGAGATCTTTGGCAGTGATGACGACAGTGACGACAATGAACCGAAGAACTCCGCACGGAGCAGCGGAGATGAAGGCAGCGGCAGTGAGGATGAGGGGGCAAACAGAGGTAGCAGAAGTCGGAGTGCTTCTCCAGCTCACAGTGACCACAGCAGTGCCCATTCAGAGGCACGTGCTCAGAGCGCCAGCGGCAGTGAGCGCGCCTCAGACTCAAGTGATGCCAGTGACAGTGAATAAAGTCTGTATGCTGGGCAGCTCTGTAAGGAACAGATAGACCACTGCAGTTTCTTTCTTCTCCTTACACACCAAGTTGACATCATCGCTAGTTGCAACATTAGTCCATTCTTGGCGTGTATGCTATTAATTACCAGCTAATAACTATTTAGGAATATTTAGTCAAAATAACGTTTTTATTTGTAGATTCAAACATTTTGAAGAATGATAATGTAAATGTCTATACCCTCCCCCTCTGGTAGAATGCCACTGTGGTACAACTTTGTAAGTAATAAAATGTAGGTGACATTTTCTACATCTGTGGTCTTGGCTGAATGATTTACACAATATCATATTGAGGAATCCAAGAATAGGTTTGTATTTGCTGTAATTGTTTAGTAGGGCATAGCTACTGTAAATATACAGTATATTCGAGCCACACATTTCAAGATACACTGCAGCACATTCAGCTGTAGCGATCCTCTGCCAGTATTTGCATAGTTTTTAGAAATATAATATTTGTATGAAACTTATGAAACATGAAGCGAAGAAAATCGACAGTGGGCGTAGCTTTGGTACGCACTGTCCAGGCGTATGACGTTCTGTCAGCGTCTTACGTCAACAAAAAATCGAAGTAGATTTCTCCAAGCGTACTCTTCTTTATTCTCTGTATATGCAATAAACAATTTAGTACATATGTAGTGTAACATGGTTTTAGTAGGATCGGAAATCGCTTCTGTAAGGGGAATAACATTAGGAAACACAGCGTATGGGACCGATCTACGCTTCTTCCAGCTAAGCTCACGTTATTGTATCCATTAGCAAAACTGCTATCGCCAAAGCTACCACTTAGCTTTTCCTCCCATATCGTCGAGCTAAGCTAAGTATTAGCACTTAGCCAGGGTCGCTAACCACTGACAACTGACAAAGGTAAACAGACATCTCTCCATGAATATTAGTCGCGTATTTATGCATATACAACTTGTTTTAGTTTTCGAAACCTTATCGATTTATACAACGAAAGGGCGCACTGAGTGCAGGGCTGGTTAGGTGCCCAGTCAAAGTAATGAGCCTAGAAAAGCGGCATACCAGCAGCAACAGCGTCAACGATAAACAATACAAATCT